GTGTATTCACTGAGTAAATCCCAAATAAGACAGTTTATGTTTTATGGAATTCCATATTTCGAAATATCATCAATTTCATTTTTGTGAATTAATTCAGTCGTTTTGATACAGGTTACTAACAAACTGAAAAGTTATAACGAACATAAACGGACAAGATTAAAACTGACTATAGTTCAATGAGTCATTTTAGTTAAAAAAATAAATAAAAGCTGACCTTTTGTAATCGTTTTTAAGTTTACTATCCTTGTCATCAGAAATGTTTGTTTACATTTTATGCAGAAAATCTGTTGTTTATCTTGTGCAATAATAATAATAATAATCGTCATCATTATGATCATGTATTATTTTCGACAGTGTTAATTAAAACTTTTTATTCAACGTCATGTTGACAGTTTTATAAATTGCATATTTCTGATTTGAACTGAAATAGTAGTTCTTTGCTTATGATGCTTGTGGATTAAGGGCAATGTCGAGGCAATACTAATAGTATGCACATATGCCAATAAGAGACTGATCAATTACAGTCCTAAATATCAATTGGAAGATTCAAGTAAACAGTACCAAGTGAAATGATACTTCATTGAGAAAGAATCATCGAAGTCTATAAGCTGATTACGAGAAAAATGAATCTTAGTTTTTAAAACTGTAAAATTAAGTTCGCAATCAAATCATTTAGCTCAGGGAGTGTAGCATCTTGAAAACATTGGATGTCGAATATTCATGCTTGATGGAAATCATATTACTGATAATATAATGTTACAATTGTACAAGGTTTCCAGACTTACAGATAAACCAACTGTTTCTTAAACATTATGTCTAATTCAGACAGCTATTAACTGTCTTCTGGTGTAACTGGACCTCTAGTTGGAATACTAATAGTGATTTGGTGTCAATTTTGAAAATTATTAATTTCGACTTTCAGAGCATTCAGTGTATGGATTTTTTGAATAAAACAAGATTAGGCGTTCGCGATGAGACATTATATTCCTAGGTTCGATTCACGACGAGCTCGTGAGTGCATTTCGCAGAGGAGTCAGCCTTGTATCTAGACGAAACAGATTTCTAATAACTCCTAGTATGCAATCGCTGTCGATCATCAATTCGTAATGTAGATAATCAAAGTATTACGGTATAACTGTAAGATAACTAATAAGTTAACTCAGAATGGGTTTTGTGGAGATTTTAGAAATTTCAAAGACTAATTGTTGAGTTATTTGTCTCACTGTAATAAAACAGGTTTAAAAATTTCCTTGGTTTTTCACATATAAAATGTTCAAAGGCATTCACTATGTACCATCATGACAAAGTCAATCACAATTGCCCTTATCCTACTATCATTAGACGCAAAATGTTTTTCAGCTGTCGAAACCATGTTAACTAGCACATTTCGATTCGTTTTTCATGTGTGTTCATTCTTCTCTGTGCATTAGCAACATATGAAGTTGTAAAAATAAATAAAATAGGGAAATCTTGTTCCAAAAAGGACAACCTAGTAATATGAATGAATGAAACATTATATAAATCCAGTTGCAGTTCAGTAATAGTTAACATTATGCTTCATTAGTCAGTGACTATTTAATGGGATATTTTCTGTAACTTAGTATCAATCTACTTAAGTTCTCTGACTACTTTCATTTGAACCAACTAATTGTTTCCAAAACAATTTATTTCTTTTGATAAATATATAAAATGTAATGAAGAGATGGAATTTATCAAAACTATATGTTTTCATCTCAACGAAATTCTAATTTTACTTCGGCTGGGGTTTGAATAGAATTATGTGTACCAGATCATTTATTAAGTTTGTGATTCCTGGTATGATCATTGTCATCTCTATAACCACCGATTCAAATGAGATGTATAGTTTTTTCGTAGGTGGTTTTTAAAAAAGTTAAGTATCACTTCTAGATGTGAATATATAGTTTTCAACTTAGTGGTCAAAAGGTTAAGGTTTTACCGAAAAATCCCCAAGGGCCTGGTGGGCTGTGGAATCGTATTTCTGAAAAGTCTCATTCTATGTGCAAATTCCATGGTCGCCATGAATCCATGAACCTAAATATTGTGCATCGGAACACTTATAAGGAAAGGCTATTCGTTAGTAAGATTATACTTCCTCAAATACTGCGACCGTACTTGTTCAGTACTACAGTCGAGTATTCTTAACAGATGGCAGATTATCCATTTAGAAAAGTTATTTACAATAAATTGTTCACTGTATAGCATCAAGAAAATGTATTTTATGAAAACGAACACTATTATAATTTTTGTAGAGATAAAAAAGTAATTTCATATTCATGATTCAAAAGGATTTACGAATTAACCAACAATTTGCTTACATAATGTCGATCCCATTTCTAAATGCTTGCAGGGCACTGCCATTTAAAGTTAAGGACGGAAGTTAGGTAACGATTAAACATAAAAATGTACCACAGAAGACGATAAAGACAGTCAAAGGTATCAAGTCGATTATTACTGCAGATATATGTAGGAAGTGGATAAGCAAGATTATATGATTATTTTTACTTAAACGTTGAATATGTTTTGGTGGAGAGATAGTAAAGTTATTTCAGACATGAACACTCAGACAAATCATTAATAGACTACGGGAAATGAAACCCAAGTACTAGGTTCGTCGGAAGAGTTGTCAACTATTCGTCTCTGAAAAATACAAGCCAGGATAAGTTTCTTTTTGTTTAACAGAGAAAACATGGAACAATTTACAAATGTCGATTGGTTTACTAATTTTGACAACTCTCTAAAATCGACTGATTCAAAACAGAAAAGTACTATCATATTGATTTGTTTTGTCAAAATCCGTTTCGATCAGAAAGCTATAACAGAAAAAAAATACTATACATACTCCATTTTCCACTAACACAATCCAATAATACTGCCTGTTTTTCAAAGTTTATTTTGTCAGTAATTAAAGTTTATTGCTCACCCTGATTTCTAGTTTCAGCAGAATTACTTGTGAATTAGTTTTCTTGAGATTCTACAGTCAGACATCTGAATTAACCATAACAAAAGTGTCCAGGCTTAAGGTAAATATATCGTTTAATATCATAACATGTGAATTTAACAATCACTTGTCGAAATCCGTCAGATCAATAATTCTTCAAAGGAATGAATCAATAGCTATTTGGATCAAAATGCCGGAGCTTGACATCCGGAAGAAAAATAACTAACTTCTTTTCTTTTTACCAAATTAATTAACACCTATTTTAAAGATATGAGGACATAATTTGATTGATGTAGATGCAGTCTTCCTCTTTGCATTTCCACAGCTTAAATTTATATCGTTCTCTCATATTATGATTGTTAGAATTATTATAACATTTGTAAATGTTTAGGAAATTTATTTAGAACCCACTGCTATTCACTATTTTTTTTACCTAACCCATATTACTCTTTATATTACGTAATCTTTGATCAGAAATCCATTTTAACCCTTGATTATAATTTTATCTTTAACCTCATGTTGCCTATATTTATTTTGATCATTTATCGTACAATTTTATGATATAAACTTATTCAAGTCAACATTCCATACTAGTCTTCACAACACTAACAGGTTTGTTTACCAGTATAAATCCCGAACTGATATTAACTAGGCCGCCAGGGCGAACCTGGAAAGACCGAATGACTGTCACATCATGATACGAGACTCCCAAGAAGCGCGTATCCACGACTAAGTGCGTGGGAATCGAACCCAGGACCTTCGTATCATGCGCGAACACAAACTCTAGACCACTCATCTAAAATCCAAATGTGTTAATTTTATTTTATATTATAAGTTATTCAAAATCCTCATGATATAATTTTAAACTATATATATTTACAGGTTTCAGTGACAAGGTTGAACTTGATAGTTTCAAATAAATTGAGCATGGGGTAGAGAGGTAATAATAAATTTATTTTTTGTTATATCCCAGCGAGTAGAAAAAAAACTATATTTCTGACGTTTCGTGACTTGGGTTGATTTAATTCAGTTACTTATTTACTCTGAAGAAGTGACTTACATTAAGTTACGAAACATCAGAAATACAATTTTTCTACTCACTAGGATATAACACAAAATATATTTATCACTATATATATTTACCTTAAACCTAGACATTTTTGGGTTATTAATTTGGAAATATAAGTGTAGAACTTGAAGAGAATTTATTGAAAAGAATATTCTTCGTCCATATCCATATTTTTTTTCAGTTTGGGGTTGTGAAGATTGTTAAATTTTTTTAGAATCATCAACCGATCAATGTTAGACTACCACTAAATACCTAGAAGCATTGGACAGTCATTTTGTCCTGATATGATGGAAATTTTTTCAGCGAGAACTGCTTTTATTTAAATTGGGTCTAACAAACTAGTTTGCTGCTTCATCTTTTTTTTCTGAGTAAAGTCACTAAAATGTTATTTGAATTATATATTGGACGTTCTTATCTAGTTTAATCTATTTACCTATCATAATGACATTTTAACCAAACATTATCTTTCATAAGCAAAATGACGTTGAAACAGAAAGGGAAATTAGTAATTTCTATTTCGTGAAACGTTTTATTATGATTATTATGAAAAAGAGTGAATTTGTTTTATTTAAGTGGTGAATTTAATTGGTTGGTTTTAATATCTAACCTTTGTATTCTTATGACTCCAAAAATATACATAAAACCAATCGCAGAGCAGTATCTTACTGTGATAATTCTGTCTGGAAATGGTACTTTCAATTTGAATGAGCTAATAACTCTGAACGAAGTTCATTCAACATAGATACATATGTACTCTATATAGATGGGAAAATATTATATACATAGAAGAAAATTTGTAGACATCCATACTTTTATTTCAGGCATATATGAATACGAAAATGATAGTTTACAGGCACATACATGTGTGTTATATAATTGGGTGTCTTATGTATGTATGTATGTACGTATATGTATATATGTTGCATGTATGTATGAAAATGCTTATGTATGTTTGAATGTAAAAGTAATAGCAATAACTATAATTATAACTGAATTTTAATAACTTCCTACTGTATACACAGATAAAATAGCACAAGATGATTCACAAACGATTCGAATCGATGGAAGCAAGGCATAATGTCATAAATTGGCATAGTAAATACATATTACGAGTATCAATGATATAATTGATTTATTTGGAAATGTACTTAACAGTAATATCGGTGTAATTGCTTCTATTGTTGATCATTAATTGTTTTATGGACTTACTGAGGATTATTGTGGTTATTGCATGTTCACTGAAGAAAATGATCAGAAATAACAATTGAATTTTTGTTAAGAAAAAGTACTTAGTTCGTATTAAAACTGATTGAACACTGTTTTATGGGATCATTTGTTTACTGAATGTATCAAACATGTAAGTTATGATGATAACAGTTTGTATTATTATCACTGTTCAATTATCAAGTAGCTATTGGCTTGGAATTAGAATCGCGTCATGACTTGTATAATAAAATAATGAAAGCGTCAGCTTAATTATACTATGTTAATGGAAATCTATCCTTGTTTATAAAAACAAAGAGATATTCGTTATTCAGTAGTCGTAACTCAAGAGCGATCAGTAATTACAATAAGAAGACAAAGATTATCAGATTACATTAATTTAAATTTATCAAAGGGACTGGTTGCTTTAAATCAGTAAGTAGTTCCATATTTGAAATGTATTTATAAATGTTCAGATGTTTGTACGGTGAAACTATTTGACCTTGATTTTTATCTAGTCCATCTAGTACTGATGATTTTGCTGTGTACAATAAACTAGTGTAGTTTCACTGGTCCTCTTTATGTGAACGTTTCTCTAGATGATTAATCCGATATTTGAACTGTGAAATAAGCAGTGAAGTATTATTGTTAACTTAGATTATTCCGTGATGGTTACGGGTCTATTGCATACAAATACTCATAAGTAGTAAAATGACATTATTCAAGACAAAAATTATACTATAGGTGTATGGGATTATTTGTCGTTTGACTCCTTTATCTACTGATTAATATTTTTTTGTTCAAAAGCAAAATACAACAAATCGTAAGCACAAAACATTAAAATGTTATTTATATATTACTACAATTCTAAAGCTTACAACTTTCTAAAACCAAGAGAACTGAGTATTTAGTTATATTTGTCTTCATTATCAGACTGATCATCTTTGTCAGAATGGGAGTTTGCGGAGATTGTAGTATTGTGACAATTGGATTGATGAGTCGATCTAAGCTAGACCACCACTGAAAACCTGGAAACACTGGACGGCCGTTTTATCCCAGTGTGGGACTCCTCAGAAGTGCGCATCGACGATCCCGCACACGGGACTCATCTTTAGTTCAAATCAACCAATAACTGAATTTTAAACATCATAATAACTCAAGTGTTATGAAACCAAGATTTAGTGAGTGAGTTAAATGTTATTTAGTCATGTCGATCAGTAATGGAACAAATTTTTTAAAATGCTTATATCATTACCTAGGTTTGATTTGCACGAGACTGTTATTGATAAAAATTGAAGACAAATTTGTAATGTCTCAGTGGGCAAAAAAATTGAATTTCTAACTTTTTGTGACTAAGTGTAAGTTATTTCATCATACTCATATTCGGTTAGCATGATAAAAACAAACTCTAAAATTGTAAATCAACTATCGATACATCAATTGTCACGTTTTGAATGACAGACCCCACCCAACTTACTAAAACCTAATTTGTTTTTATAAAAATGAATTACACGTGCTACGGGTTTTACTTTTATAACAATCTTTAATTTGTCATTATATGTGAAAATTATATTTGAAATATTCTCAGCGATTGAAATTTAACTAATTCCAACGTTTCGTCCAAACTTCTCTATACTCGGCGCCTAATTACTGTCAAACTATTCGTTCTGATCTTGACGAATATTCGTATAAATCTTTAATTTGGTTTGATTGGCATAAAATATGATGAGAATTCATTGAAAGTATAGAGAAAAATTCCAATAATTTTTCTGTATGATCAAGAAAATGTGCAACTTTCAGAAGATCCATGACATCTGAATCAAGTGCACTTCAGTTTCATTCCGCCTTTAATTTAGAATGCTAAATTCTACAAAAGACACATTCCTGCTAAAATATAAGGTCTATAGGTTTTTTTTTAATCCGTAGAAACAAATAATTAAAAATGTAAGTTATCAACTAAAAATCATAATTTCAATGGTTGAAATCATGAGTCAGTTAAAGCTAGACAACCATAGAAAGCCTGGAATCACTGAATGGCCATCTCGTCTTATTGTGGAACTCCTCATCAGTGGGCATCCAGTATCTCACCTCACGGGATTCGAACCCAGGGTCTGTCAGTCTTATTTTTAATCTCTGTACTTGGCACTTTTTGTTTACTGAAATTCAGCAACGAACTGACCAATCTTACATGCAACATTAACTTCTTGATTCACAAATCATGCACATTTACATGTTGATAATGTATTAAATAACAGTTCGAGTTAGAATCAAAAGAAAAAAACTTATCCATAGTGAGCTGGTGTGACCTAAATAAAATTAAAGTGCTACTTAATAATTAAAGTTTAAGTATATTATATTTTATTCCAATGTATCTCTATTCATCAATTATGCAACATTCATATATTTAGGTATGATAACTCGCTTCAGTAAATAATAAAACTAATATCATTCATTTGACCGGTTACAAATTTCGAGATAATTCAATATGGGATTATCTGTGAAAATATTTTATCATCACCCTGTAAACTTTTAAATTCTGTTCTTTTCATTTCTGTTATGTTCTGCTCTGTTTTTGTTTTTGTTTTTACACATAATTTACAATATTTAATGATTACTACTTATCAGAATGGGTTTTGTGGAGATTTTAGAAATTTCACAGATTGAAATCATGAGTCAGTTGAAGCTAGACCACCATTGAAAACCTGGAAGCACTGAACGGCCGTTTCATCCTAGTATGGGACTCTCCAGTAGTGCGCATCCACGATCCCGCACCACGCGAAGCTCGAACCCAGGACCTACTGACTTCGCGCGCAAGCACTTAACCATTAGACCACTGAGCCGGCATCCAACGGTGTTAATGTCTAACTTCAACTAATTCACGAAGTTGCATCACCGTACGCCATTGTCTTCAGTGAGTTCCTATCTCACAACAGACCTGTTTGAACTCCACTGGTAACGGCTTCTCACTAGAACTTCGGGAGTTTTTCCTGAAGTCAGTCACTAGTGAGCAGTTGATTATTATCAGAATGGATTTTGTGGAGATTTTAGAAATTTCACAAATTGAAATAATGATGCCAGCTCAGTGGTCTAGTGGTTAAGTGCTTGCGCGCGAAGTCAGTAGGTCCTGGGTTCGAGCTTCGCGTGGTGCGGGATCGTGGATGCGCACTACTGGAGAGTCCCATACTAGGATGAAACGGCCGTTCAGTGCTTCCAGGTTTTCAATGGTGGTCTAGCTTCAACTGACTCATGATTTCAATCTGTGAGATTACTACTTAATTAAGTGAATGAATAGAATATCTTTTATCTAATTGTATCCAAGTAAGAGTTCAATTTATGATAAATCTTCCAATGAATACAAAATTCAAAATCCATTTCATTCAGTTTCACATATAGACATTCATACATTCATTTAAGGAAACATTCTACTTACAGGAAACTATGAACAAACTTCTTTCCCCTCCCCCCAATAATATCATGCAATATTTTCAATGTCTGGGTTTTGAATAAATGAATTTAAAATACACACTTTAAATGTTGTTAACTAGTTATAACAGCTGATATAATATTTTTCTAACAAAAATTTACATAATCTACCAAAGTTATAAGTACGTATTGAATGGTTAAAGATAACCGGCTGAAAGTTTTATGTAGTACGACACTTAACAGGATGATATTATTTATTGTTAAATAATTTTAAACTTATGTTACTTAAAACTACACTTGGAAGAGTTGGTACTAAGCACATTATAAACAGCAGAGTATTTAGTAACCAACGCAATGTAACATTTGGATAATGTTTGGTGGTAGAGTTTAGTAGTTAAACAAAGAAAAGTTACTTATATGTATATAAATAAATAATATATTTGTAATATCCTAATGAATAGAAAAATCAGATTTTCTGACGTTTCGTCACTTAGTGTAAGTCACTTTGGAAAATTCCTTCATTTATAACAAGCTACGCAATGCTCAATTTATTCGAAATTATCAAATCAAACCTTGGTAATGATACCTACAAACTTATATGTATATGTAACTTTCATTATTGTGTTACTTCAAAATAATGATACTAGATAGCTCTGTCATCCTCATTAGGTATTTGTCGTTGTTGAACACTGACTAACCTAACCTTAGTAAGCTTAAAACTTTCAAATTTCACAGAGTACACGACTTTTTCAGACGATCAAGTTGGAATACAATGATCTGCATTTAGATCCCATTTAATTATGCTAGATCCCTCGGTATATATACATTCAGATTTTTAAATACCAGAATAAAAATGGTAATCAGCTATGAATTCCACTTGATTGAGAAACTCTACCGGGCATATATTTATCGAACTGGTATTGTAATTCACGTTGTTTTTCAATTTTCTCAATAAGACAAATCATTTTTACAACAACTTGATCTGTTTGGTAAAATACTAGATATGATTGAATTCAGTGAATCAATCAAGTTATGTAGGGGGACTGGTTGGGAAATCCCAACTTGAACAGGTTCTAGAAAACAAAACAAATTTGCCTATATATATCGTTGTAGCTAGAGAATTTTTCAATAAATATGAACAATCCATGCAATGTTAATAAATGACCATTGACTATCTTAACACGTCATTATTGTGGTAAAAGTAAACATTCAATGTTACCAGCTAAGCTAAATATTGTAAAATGAACTTAGTAGTAGCTAGATAATGGTTTTAAGGTTTTAATTAATCGATAGAAAGTTTCAGTGATCAGCCTAGCCATTTAAAATACATGTTAATAGGATTAAGTTTAACATTTCAAACAGTTATATAACACCGCTGTATGCCGACGCAGTGGTCCAGTGGTTAAGCGCTCTCATGCGGGAACGATAAGTTCTGGGTTCGAATCCCGTGAGGCGGGATACTGGATGCGCACTGCCGTCCAGTGCTTCCAGGTTTTCCATGGTTGACTAGCTTTAATTGACTCATGATTTCAACTATTGAAATTGCTACAATCTCCACAAAAACCCCTTCTGAGTTATATAATGTTTTGATTACCCAATCGTTGATTCAAAATACACGCTCGTATCCGGTTAATCAATAATTTGAACTAAGGCCTAGTTAATGAACTTGTATATTATGAGTTATTGATGACGATTCATGTATAATCATGTAAAATAGATCCTGTATATGTTCACGTTGTGTTTTTTAAGGGTTAGATTAGAGCTATTGTATTTTAACTTGTTTTATTCGGTAATTTATAAATTTAATCATTATATAAAGCGTTTTTGTTGATAAGATATGAGAGAAAGCAGAAATCCTTTAGGGAAATGCAAAACTGTCAGTAAAGTTTAGTACGTACTTTTATGTATTGTTAAAACGACATAGATGTTTTAAATGATGACGGATCCAGTAATTAAAATGAATCTCGTTTTCATTCTGATTAATATTGTCAATGATATCTTTGAAAAACACT